ATCAAGAGTTTTCATTTGAGTACCCACATGCATTTTTCATATATTTTTCATATATACATATATGTAATATATATAATATATATAAATATATTAAAAATTGACGTGGGTACTCAAATGAAAGGTCTCGATAAGTATAACATCAGGATGAGCTTATATCTTTAAAAATCTCAATAATTCTCAAGATACAAGGTAATTTCTTAATTACTTATCTAGACATAATTTTCGAAATAAAATTTTTAATAATAAATTAAGAATTTTATAAAAGTATTATTATTCTTTTTATGCCAATAATAATCATAATTCTCAAAGCCCTCAAAAGAGCAACTTAAGATAGCAATCAAAGTTCTAATTACTCATTACAAAGATCATATCAAATAATTAGAATCGAATAATAAAAATCTAGTTAAGCGATGCGCTGACTGATCAATTCTAACTGAAGAGCAAACGTCTTAGTTTCATTACTGAAAAAGCAATCGTAAGTTTAATGAGTGAACAACTCGTTTGATAAGAATTCAATCGGAGTCGGGTCGCTGTTTTATTATTTTAAAGTACTTTAATAGTAATTTAATGTAACGGACGATGAGCTTTTTGATGCTGTATGCTTGTACATATTGATTGCCGGGTAAAATTTGTGTAGAAGATCTTAGGACCGATAGGAAATGAAAAAGGGAATATTGATGAAAGCTTTTAGCCAGATAAATCTATTTTTTTACTCGAATGTACTTCAAAAGAATATTAATATTATTTTAAATTCCCCTTGAGGGATCGTTCTTAAGAAAATGCTAAATATTTCCGGAGAAAGAACAATTATTTGACTGATGTTCGATGAATAATGAATTCTGATGGTGAGGTTAAATTATTTTATTATTCAAAAATAATCTACGCTAAACTTTATCGATTAAAACTTTCTCTGCTTTTACTGTTTTTTAAAATTCAATCTATCTAGATTTTATCATTACTTATTATAAATCGACTATTATTTATTACCTTTTACTTTTTTCCGTGGATATTTGTTGATTATTAACAAATCTTATTCGAATTTAATCAAATATACCAAAACAAAATAGTATTTGGTTGAAAATTATCCAAATTTGTTCAAAAATTCAATACATATTTTCAAGTTATTTAAAATAAATTTCCAAATTTAAATCAAACAAACTATTTTCTTAGTATAAATAGTTATTAATTTTACCAGAATAATAACTAAATTTATCAATAAAAATTTAAAAAATGAAATAAAGCTTAAATACCTTTAATGAAATCAACAGCCATTTCCAATCCATAAGTGTCCTTATCACAATCATCGAGAATGTGCGCGCCAATTTTAACACCCGGAATAAATTGTTGTTTGCTGAGCCAATCCAATGTGAATAGCATAGCTTCAAGTGCTTGAACGCCGCCCTGCGGCATAACTGGACCGCACGTGATAGTGTCTTCTCTCTCGTGGACCATCATTAAGCCCCCCAGGACCAAATCACCCTCGACGATAACACTGTGCTTCACCGGCCATTGATTTACCGCGTTGAGGCTTTGGTTTCCATTTGACTTTATTTTCCCTGTTTCTGCTGCAGTCTGAGTGCTCTTCATAGCACCAAAATTAGTTTCATTCCCTTTTTTCAAATTAGAACCCACTTTTAAGAACAACTTACTGGACTTTCCTTCACTGCCAACAGTCCAGTTCCTTTTGGTATCATCAAGCACTAAAAGATCGCTATTTCCTTTGGCTTCCACCAAGGAGTCCTTTGAAGTGCCAGACAATTGGAATTCGTTTTCCTCATAATACCCCAGATCAAAATCGGTCTTTAAAGCACCAGAGGCGTTATTGTGTGAAGAATGTCCATCAGGACTTTCCTTTTCAGTGGCATTGATTCCTAAGCTCCGCAAGTTGAAAGCTTCTGTCGAAGTTTTGTTCAGCGGTAACGAACTTTGCAACTCTGCCTTCGAATTCAACAAGCCGGAGCTCAAAACTTCTGACAGCGGTGTACCGGAATTCCATTTAGCTTCCGGAAGCTGCTTTTCGTCAGTCACTTGGTTATTTGGTAGCAATGTCTCTTTGTTATTCCAACCACCCAAGGTTTCACTGGCTATTGTCTTGTCAAGGACGAGATTCGTCAGATTCTCTGATTTTTTCTGCCTTAAACCTTCCATCACTTCCTCAGGATCATTCTCTCTAATCCTCGAAAGCAAGGAAGGGCTATTGATTTCAAACCGGCTGGTTACACTTTCATCCACATTGATGGAGATCTCCGTCGTATCGCTTCCCTTGGTCTCATCATTGATTTCCGATGCAGTGAAGGGAACATCAGTCACAGAAGGTCTGTAGGCGGCATCATTATCCATGTCAGTGCTCGGGAAATAATTAGCAGAATTCGATTCCCAATGGTTAGATTTTATCGAGCTATTTTTATCAACTTTCCAGATGGTAGCATCCGAAGGCATTAACTCAAATGGTTTGCTGGTAACAAATGCCTCCAAATAGTTACTTCGAGACTTTTCATTAGCAGAGCTTGTTGGCGGTTTATCACGTACTAACTTTCCAAACAAATTCCCCAATACTCTGTTTTTCTGTTTCTGATGCTCATTTTCTGCTTCCTTAAACTTTTTTAAGGTGTTGTTAGCACTTACAGTCGGGTCTTGTAGCTCAGTATAAGTTTCCGGTGATAAATCCTCATTTTGCTCATCATTTTTTGATAAAAATAATGCACTATGCATTTCTGACGTTTCTGTAACATGTTTATCTACAGAATTGAATTCATTGTTATTTTCAGCTTCATTTTTATCTTTATAACTTTTGAGTTTACTTTCTGAATGCGTGATTTTATTGACGGGAACTTGGAGCACATTCTCATGACTTTGAATCAGATGCGGTTGCTCGGAAGATTTTATCGAAGCAATAACCTCAGAAGAAATGTCCATTGGTGCTTCAATAAAATTAGTTTTTATCGTGGTCATTTCTTGGTTTATACCATCAGGAGTTGTTTTTGGGTTGCTGTCAATTGTTTTAAATTTATTCACCCATGCGTATGATAACACGTTTAATTTATCGCTGGGATTCGCTGTGGTTTGAATCGCGATTTTTTCAACGAATGAATTTGATGTGTCGCTGAAAATTTGATTACGCGTTTTCAAAGTTATATTAACACGGTAGCTTTTAACGGTAATGGAATTCCGAGTCGGTGAGCTGGTTAATGCGATCGACGAACTGGATGACAAATCATATGGTGGCGAAACTGATTCATCGTGAGTTATTGGATAATTTATCGCGGTTTCTATCGTTCTATTGTCGTAATAAAATTGTTCTTTCGCTTGGCTGACAATCAAAATAATCCACACGCCCGCTAGGGCCGTCCAGATCAGATTTTGCTGCATATCACCTTGATGATATCCGAGTCATCTTCTGTAACAATTAATATTTTTCAAAAATTTTATTAATTGTGGATAAAAGAATTTAATAAACACAATATACATTAATAAAAAAATGTGTGCATTATTATAAACCTAGCAACGTTAGAAACGCTTCTAATAAAGTTCCTTAGCAACCGTTGCTTGGGTAACGCCCCTAACAATGTTAGAAACGCCCACAGTGACCTTACACACGCCCCTAACTACCTATACTTAGGAATTAAGGCCTAGTAATGCCCTTAGCAATGTTAGCAACGCCCCTAACAACCTATAGTTAGCAACTGTTGCTTAATTACGTCCCTAGAAATGTTAGAAACGCCTCTAACAACTGTTTCCTAGCAACTGTTGCTTAGTAACGCCCTTATCAATGTTAGGAACGCCCCTAGCAACCTAAGCAACGCCTCCAACTATTTATATTTAGTAACTGTTGCCTAGAAACGCCCTTAGAAATCTAAGCGACGTTCCTAGACACTTTAGCAACGCCCCTAACAACCTATAATTAGCAACTGTTGCTTCATAACGCTTCTAGAAATGTTAGGAACGCCTCTAACAACCTTAGCAACGCCCCTAACACTATATACTTAGCAACATTTGCCCAGTAACGCTATTAACGCCCTTATAAACCTTAGCAACGCCCCTAGCAACCTTAGTCATGCACCCTTACAACTGTTGCTTAGTAACGCCCCTATTAATGTAAGGAACGCCCCTAACAACCAATAATCAGCAACTGTTGCCTAGTAACGCCCTTAAAATGATTAGCAACGCCCCTAATAACAGTTTCTTAGCAACTGTTGCTAAGTAACGCCCCTAGCAACTTTAGCAACGTCCATAACACTAGTTACTTAGCAACCGTTGCCTAGTAACGCCCCTAAAAATCATAGCAACGCCCTTAGCAACCATAGTAACGCCCCTTAGCAACCAAAACCTATCAAAATAGCTTCACAAATGTTTGGAAAATTTTTTATTAAAAAAAAAATGTTGTTCGAATAATAAATGCAAAAAATAAAAATTATTATCGTAATAAAAAGGTTCCATTCAATTTATTAAACCATATATTTTAAGTAATATCTGTCTGTATTAAAAAAATGAAGAGTATTAAAACACAACACTGTTTTTTTAATCTAACTAACAATAGAAACGGGGCAATAACTGAACAAAGAGGGTTAAAATTTAAACGATGACACCCTGATACTTAAACTACACGATAAATTTCATTACAGCAGCTTTTTAGTTAATGAAATTCACCGTCAAACTAATGTCAATAAGTTTTATATTTTACGATACAAATTCAATAAATTTTTTAGCTTTTTTTAGCTCCCCTGCTATAGAATTTACATTTTTTTTATAAAAAATTCTCGCGAATTTACGATTGTAAGTTAAGTTTTTTATCAATACATCGCTGTGATGATTGAATACTTCTTTTTCACGTGAATTTCAATACAGCGTACAACAATTGTGATCGGAATAAGTCTGACATTAAAATCCTATTCAGACACAGCCAAAGTGTTTATGCCGACTCGTACGGTTTAAATGAATGAGAACAAAAAAAGTCGGCTATATAAAAGAAAAAAAAAATATGAGTAGAGTAAGATAAAAAGTGGATAAATAAAAATCCACTTCTGTCAGAAGATCGTCATTTTACGAGTGAATAAAATGGGCTTTTTTTTCGCTCTTGCACTTGCAAATAATTTCCTCCGATGGTAAAAATATTTTTTTATATTTTATATTTAATAGATTTTCTATTCGGAAGCAATCACGAATTTTTCTAAAACCTTTTTTTGTCATTTATAAATTTTTTTTGCAGTACTAAATCGTCTAAGCTGGCCTACATTAACCACTGACATGAATAAAACGATTCAGCTCTTGAAGCGGCGAGTTTTTCCGGATATTATTCTTCGACTTTACTGTTTTTGCCCTTTGTTCTTTTCTTTTTTATTTCTTCCACCTGATTGATCAGAGCTCGGGTGTATAATTAGTGTGAGGAAGTGATATTTCGTTTCTGGGGCCGTATAAATGCGCGATAAATTAACTCGTGTAGGAGTTATCGATCCGAGAGAGAGAAGCAATTACATTAGGAGATACGTGACTGCGAATATGTACCTTTGTTGAATTTTAGCTGTAATTGTACCTTTAGATATCGGAATTTATTAAAAATAAAACAATAAATTTTCGAATAACAGTTCAGACTCTTTAAAACATAAAAAAAATTTTTTTTAGTTCGTTACTTATGGAATTTATTATTATGGACTTATCAAGTTATTTTATGAAATTTATTCACCGAAAATAAATAAATGAATGACATTAACATCTTATTAAAATAAAAAAATTAATTTTTATATAAAGCAGTCTCTTTAAAATTGTAAAAAAATAATTTTTAGTCCTTTACTTATATTTTTAAAATTAACTCTCTACTATCGAGAAAATTTAACGACCATGCGCCGCCTGTTGGAATTTTTCGGAACTAATTTTTATAAAAAAATTATTTATGGGCTTCTCAAGTTATTTGATGAAATTTATTCACCGGAAGCAAATAAATAAATGACATTAACATCTGAAAAGTAATTTTCATTACTGGAGAAAGAAAAATAAAGCTCGAATCGTTTTCGGCACAGAGAATAAGTAAGAATTGAAATTAACAGATTGCCGACAATGGAAATTCCGTCCCAGCGGATGCGGGAGAAACTTTTCAAGCTCATAAAGCCAAGTGGTTGAAGATGTTTAAGCCAGGAATTATTCATGTGCTACAAACATCAAATATATTTAACAAGGTGGGATTTTGCGTAGAGTGGACTCTCTTATGGGCTGACAATACTCCATTAAGACGCTTTCTATTATCCATTTCAATATTCCGGGTATATGCTTGAATATTATCACCATTGATCTTGTTCACCGGCTTGGAAGAGCCTTTCATTACTAACACCTGAATAAATGTAACATTTTAATATGCTTTATTCTTTACTTTTATTTTTATTGACACTCAACAGTCAAGAGTTAATTAAACACATAAATTACGATATTTATCGACGTGAAATTAATTATTGGTTAATAAAAATATGCACTAATTTAAATTACAAATTACAAACTTGTAAGTTCAACAAGATCGTTAAGATTGAATTTTTTAAGCAGCTGGATAAGTTATAAAATAAAACTGCAGAATATAAAATTTCTTAGTATATTTCAATATTTCAATTGGAATTTTTATTTTTATATCAAAAGATGCATACTTTTACGTGCAGGAAATATTTTATTCTTTATTGGCCAATCAGAAACCTAAAAAGCAGACGTGTATAAATAAAAATAAAGTTCAGTGGAATGCTTGACTTTCACCAAGTGATATATGATATTTTTCATATAAGAAGCACTTTAAATTCCAGCAATCACTGGATATTTGATATTCTAAGATAAATATTTTAGTATCAGTGTAATTTTTTTAAAAAATACCAGCAACTTTCAATCACTATGTGACTGCTGTAGTGAACTATAAATAAATTAAATTTTGCTTTATTAAATAATGAATTTTTAGGTAGATTTCATAAAATCTATCTATTGCATTGGCCCTTGTGTCAAAATTCACACAGAATTTCGTTATTATATCAATTATTTAGTCGAGTAAGGCTTAAAAATGTTTAGAAATGGCAGCCAGAAATTTTCGAAAATCTAAAAAATCACATGTTTGGTGACTTTACTAGGGAATAACTTTTTATTGAGAAATGATAGATCGTTTTTCTGCATTTTGTTTCAAAGCTTATGAAATTCTCTTTAATTTAACCTATAACAAATTTACTTTTCATCAATTACTCCATAAGTTTAAGAAGCTGAATGTCATCTGAATCAGTTTTAGACAAGCACACAACACAACGCGAATTGTGGACACGATTACTCCCAGAATTCTTAATGAATCTTTATGAAATTTGGTAGACTTATTCTATATACAATTAGCTTGGATGAGTTCAAAAATGAGCTAAATCCCTCAAATAGTTTAGAAATGGCAGCCATTTGAAATTTTCGAAAATCTAATAAATCACTGTATTTTAAAATTTGGCAGCCGATTTACTTTTCTGATAAACTTGAGGAATAATAATTATTCATAATATCGTAATTAAAATCATGGATTACATGAAATCTACCTTCTATCTTGGCTGGTGCCAAATGGCCTTTTTTTTTTAAATTGCACTGTAATTTCTTAAACATTGAAGTTTTTAAAGATATAAGCTCATCTCGATGTTATACTCATCAAGAGCTTTCATTTAAATACCCACATGCAATTTATATATATTTTACATATATACATATATATAATATATATAAATATAGGAAAAATTGATGTGGGTAGTCAAATGAAAGGTCTTGATGAGTGTAACATCGGGATGAGCTTATATCTTTAAAAATCTCAATAGTTTACAAGAAATAAGGTCATTATATTTTCCAATTACTCTTACACTAATTTTTTTCAAAGCGTGACCGACTTAATAATTGTCCAACAGATTTTAACCCAAATATAATTCAGCGTTATTTATTACAGGATTGCCAAAGCATCTTGCCCCTGCACTCAGAGAGTTTACAACCCACTTTATTCTAACATTGCGGGTATAAATTTCAATCGTTTCCAAGAATCATCGATAAATAAACTTTAAGATATCTTTATTTCTTCACCTATCTTCTTATATTGATTTTCCATACAATAAATATACAACCAGTCGTTTATGCCCACGAATATCCAATTCGAGTTTAACAACAGTCCTTTAAGAATTTCTAACCTGGTAAACTTTTCTCTATAACTTATAAATTATTCCAAAATTTTATTTAATTTAAATTAAATAAATCCGCAGATTATTCATAACTTTGTATGCAACAGTTCCATTCGTGGAAAACATATAAAATAAAACTTTTGATTCAACAAAAATAGGAAAAAATATTGCTTTTATTGCTCGAGAATTTTTATGAGTGCGTTTCACGTCAATTTGTCG